AAATTCTGGTATTTTTTAAAAACACAAATACCATAATTTTCTTTTCTCCTATATTTCGTTTTCTGATGAAGCTGAAATAAAAGTGAAGCATGTTAAATTTATAAACGTTTCCTATTTGTTCCTTATCCTATCATTGTCAGATTCTTTATATATATATATATATATGTATATATTAGCTCAGAATGAAAACCAGAGCTAAGTTTGAATTCAACTACTTCCTGTCAGGTTGGAGGTGTTGGTGAAATAGTTCCAGATTAATCATTTGTTTAATTCAATTCCAAGAATCAATGCCTTTTTACATTGGCTGACAGTTGACAGACAAATCCTGGAGTCCCCAAAACAATGCCTGCCTATGTTCTACAGTTAATAAAATGATAATAAGACGTGATTTCAGTTGATTCCTAAATATTGGCATTTTTTTTTTCTTTTCCTTTCATTCATCACGTTGGGATACTTCATTGTTGTTGTTATTGTAAACTAAATTTTCAATGATGTCAAATGGCTCCATTCATGGTTAATGTGTTCTCTAATTAGACCAATATGTGAAAGGTAGACTTTTCAGCAAATGGTGCACCTGAAGAAACCTTCAATGACAGTAGATGAAGAATGCAGCATGTGAGGTTTTTGGCAGTGTTCCTCTGCCTGCTGGACCAATTTTACTTCATTGATTTGAACAGCATCTAAGGAGAAACATTACCAACTGACCCCAACCGCTAGACATTTTTCCTAATTGACCAAGAAGACAATCAACCCTCAATGGCTCTCTGTATCTCACTTATATTGACCATCAACAAAGCTTTTTGTCTGATTCCAAATCATCGAATAAAATACATCACAGGAGTTGCTTCTCAGGCATCAGTATGACGTGGTCATACCAATGTAGCTGCCAAGCATGACTTTGATGGACTGTGAATGTTCCTGCATTTTGACATGCAATAACTTCTTTTTTTTTTTTTTTTTTTTTTTTTTACTAATGTGCACCCAATACGAGGCCCAAGGGCCACTCAAGGTAGAGGGTTACTGTGTAGCATAAGAAAAGGCAAGATAACAGGAAAGATAAGCAGCTAATTCTAGACTTGAAGAGGTCAAGATTTAATTAGTGAAGAAAAGTTCAAAACTCTGGCATAGTCTTTAGAAGGAAACCCAGTCCTAAAAAGGCAAAAAAAAAATCTACTCCTGCTCAAATGACCAGGGAGGAGTGTGAACCGGACAATAGGTAATCCCACCAATGTAAGCTGAGAATTCTTTGATGGTAGAATATTTTATAGAACATATCTGTAGGAATTTTCTAGCCTATTTATCTCCTTTACCACTACTGACATCTTTCTCCTACTACCTTACGATCAAAATGTTGAAAGTGTAAACACATATAACTGAAGAAATATTATGCAGAATATAAGATGGCATAGGATCTTATGAGAATTGCTTATTAGCCTTCAGACAGCCAAAATATTTAGTGTATTTAGAAGTATAACGTGATGACTGATGAATAATTCAATGTGACTGCTCAGAATCTGATGAACAAATTTTAGCATCAAACAAATATTGGATTAGAACAAAGGTTGATAAAGATTTTTTTTTTTAAGTGAATTTTAAATATTTTTCCAGTTATTCAACTTAATATTTGCCATTTATTCTCCTGCCATTGGCCATCTCCAAGGCAATATCATGATTTAATCCTCTCAGAACTTGGCATCTTTCTGGGTGAACTGGTCTAAGTGATTCTAACAGGTTTTCAAAGAACTGAAGATCTTTTCATTAAAGGAACTTTGTAGGCTAAGTGGTAATCCAAAGGTGCAGGGTCAGGAGAATATGGCAGGTGTACTAATAAAGCTGTACCAATTTCTGCAAGGTCTGATGAATAAGGTCTGACTTAGCTTTTCACTAATTGCTGCCTTTTAATTGGTCCAACCAGGAAGAGTACTTGTCTGAATTCCGTATCTGATTTTACAGAAAGAACTCTTCCAATCCTATCGGATATATATATATATATATATAAGCATTACCTTATTTAGATATAAACTTGGACATTATCTGTTTGTCTTGAAATATTACTGGATGAAACAAATCTACTTAAAAACAAAATCCATAACACCAGTTGGAGATCCCATGCAATGCTTAAAACAATTTATGGAAAACAGAGAGCAATATCTTTTAAGCTCAAATAAAAATGATTAGTTTGTCAGCCACAGCTACCAAGTGGACAGGAAAATCATTTCATCCTAACTTCTATGGCATCCTTCTGGAAGAGTCTTCTCATGAAAATTAACTTTCCTATACACCATAGCTCAGGACTTGGGATTGGACATTGGGAATCTGAGGACAGCAATGCAGGACTGAACAGTGTGGAAAAGGGATTGTCAATGAAGTTCCAACCAACCATATGGAAGTTGAAGGATGATGATATGTAGATTATTTTTGGGAGTGATTAAAGGTGGCTCCTTTCATTTTCTCCAGAACTCTTTCTATTCTATATTGTTGCAAACAATTCATTTCCATCACCTGTAAATCATTCTTTAAAAGAAATTTTTTTGAGAAAAGAATCATAGATTAAAATTTGAAACATCATAGCAAGATTCATGTATGCAAGTGTTTTTAAATGTCTTAAAACTGTAGCAGTTGGTAATTAAAAAGATAATGTGGAGAAAAACACCAAATTTTCAGAGCAGACACCAGGTTCATTTGCAGGTTGCAGCTTCTTCCAGTCTTGTGGCATAATACAGGAAAAATAAATCTTTGGCCAGATTGTTACCCATGAAATAAAATCCTGAGATGAAATTGTAGCAGTCAGTATATTTGATTCTATTACAACCTTTGTGTATTGGCCGGCTACAGACGAGTGAGGCGAGTTGAGGGGTCAAACAGTCTAACTGGCGTGTGTGCCTTTCTTTTCATGTGGTAGCTGAGCAGCCTTCATTTTTTTTTTTTTTTTTGCTGCTAAGAACCACAGTCTTATAGAGAAATGGCCTTCTTTGTCCTGTCAGCTTTGATCTAAAAAAACATAATCCATCAAGTACACTCTACTCAGCTGACCTTCTTTGTCAGTGTCATTTGTCATGTTTCTCATGAGATCCACTTCACTCCACTGACCTTCTGTCAAGATGATTTCTGTAACATACTACAGATGTCTCCTTAAAAAATATCATCTGACAACTGATATCACTACGCAACACTCATGAGACACATGTGGAGTATCTCTGTGATAACCTGTGTCATGTGATCTGGATTATTTTTAATCAACATTTCAATTTAGTCATCATCAATGATTGGATGGTTGCCAGAATATTCTTTCAGATCATAATTTCCACTTCTATACCTAGTGAACCACAGCTATGGCACCATCTCCATAAATGGAACAGATCTCTTTTTTTTTTTTTTTTTTTTTTTTTTTTTTTGGGCTGTTTGTTCTGTTTTTCTTCCTTTGCTTTAAACATTTTGAAATATTTTCAGAAGAAAATCGGTTGTTAAATGAAAAGCAAAATGCTGATGGAATTAGACAAATTCATCAACTACTTATTTACACTAGAATCCAGTATAATCGTTAGATAAAACAAAAAATGCAATCCAATATCTTCCAGAAGTAATTGGAACCAATAATATAAGGTGTTAGCAAAAAGAAATAACAAAATTGCAATATGAGATCTGGTAAAAAAAAAAAATGATTACTGATTATCCTAGTTGATAAAAGCATTGATTGAATCCAGTGACTTGATTCAAAGAGTTGTGAGTTTAGTTAAAGGGAGATAACTGATGAGATATCAGGAAGAGGCATGGCATATAGAACTAGAGCAATCTACCCCACTGAATGAAATAAAGATCAGTTCAAAATTTCAATCACGTGAAGAAGGCTGGAATGTAGGCTAAAAAGTTGTGAATATAGCAACAAAGATGAGGACAAATGTCTGAATAGTGTAAATAATTACAATATTTCGTTTTTGAAATATATATTCATCAAGTACATTTTAAAGAATTTAAAACTATGGATCAAACATTTAAATTTATTCATTATGGAATCATTTTTTCAATTTTTTTTTTATTGAAGAATAGTTTTAAAATAAAAATATTTTGACAAATTTCGTAATGAAAAGGAAGGGTATTTTATGAAAAAATGTTTTAAGCTAAAAAATGTTAAAATTAAAAAAAAAATTAGGCTTAAAATTATTAACAATTTTAAAGTTAAAATTAAAATAGTTTAAAAATTTTTAAATGTTTAAAATTAAAATTGAAAAATTCAGACCTAATTAAAGATCTTTGCTCCTTTTGTCTTAATTTAGAAATAAAATTTAGAAAAATTTACTCAAAATTCAAGAAACTTAAAAATGAAAAAAAAATGGTTTGTTTTTAATTTAAAATTTAAACCACTTAAAATTAAAAAAAAATATAAAGTTTCATTCATTCAGATGATGAAATGTCTTAATTTCTATAGTGACATGACATTAAACAGGTACATTCTTATTTTCTCACTGAAATCTGATTTTGGTTCAACAACAAAGACAAGAATTTCTTTACATTTTTTATTTCTTGGTTCATATACAAAATGAATAAATAATAGATATGTATAAAAATAAGAAAAAAAATTTCAAAATCAATGTATATGCTTTTCTTATTTTCCAATGGATTATACCTTCTCTCTATTTTTATTTTAATTTTATATTTGTGTGTGAGGATAAAAATTATATATATATATATATATATATATATATAGTGTGTGCATGTTACACATTTTTAATTTTAGTCTTCCCTTTTAGTAAAAGAATCTTTGACTTATCTTTTTGAAAATCTCATTTGTAATCCCAGAAGAATAATGTATAATGTTTTAATAACAAATTTTGATTATTTTTTTTTTTAATATGAATATTATTTGAATTCAATTTATTTAAGTATAAACTCTGATTTTGTTCTTGAAATAGTTTATTTAAAGAGTTTTATTTATTTAATAAAACACTTTAAATAAACTATTTCAAGATTGAAAAAGAAAGATAGAATTTGGGTTTGGAAAGTTAGGGCATTGGCGCTGCTTTGTAGTTGGAATCTGGGTAAGCATGCAAAGAGAGAAAACTGGACTTGGGGTATGAATTTAATTCACCAATGTCGTCTTGTTGAAGTAGATTCACTCTTTGTTGAAGGGCTGTCACTTGCATCTTCAAGGAAGTGATTGTGTCTTCGAGTTCCTGCATAAAAGAAAACCAATTAAGATAATCTTGTGAATTTCTGAAACAAAATTGTTTTTATTCAATGAATCTTTCCAACATTCCTCATTAATTTTATTTCATTATTTTAGCCTTACTCTCTGGCTTTTCATCTTCATGGAAATTTGTAAAGAACACTTTGTCAACCATCTTTGAGGATCTGAATTATCCTCTTTACTACACTCTGCTCTATTCCACCTTTCAGAGAAATATATATCCATAGATAAAGTGTTCTTTTAAAAAATCCTTGAAGCTTTAGTGAATTCAAAATTTATTTGATGAAGTCCTAAAAGCACACCAGCTGAAACCAAAATGGATGAAATTGTTAGTCCAATAGAATCCTGGAATAGTAACATAACATCAGATGCAGCTAACAAGAATAGAAAAAGAAAACCCCTGAAATGAAGTACTAAATTGATAGGAAGAGGGTGGGTAAGGTTCTTTTTTGAATGGTTCATAACTAAAAACTCATGAAAGGACATTAACTAATTAAAATTCTTTTCCTGAAAATATTCCAAGAGCTGTTTGTTTGATTTTTATTTTTTTGTTTTGATGCTATAATATAGTTTCAGACAATGCATTCTAAAAGTCCTTAGAATGAACCTGCTGTAATAAGAATAAGGTCAGTGGTCTGAACAAAAATTGATAATGGTCCTTTTCAAAAATTACAGAAGGTCTTTCTTCAACCAATAAATCAATCACTTCTAACATCTTTAAAAACCTGTTTTATGCCAGCTAAATTTAGTAAGTAACTGTAAAATACATGATTTTACAAGCCTGTCTTTTGCATTACTGAAATGGTAGAGCTTGAAAGTTTAATCAGGTCTTTTGAATCATTGACCTCCTATCTATAATACCAGCATTCATCTAAGTAGATCTTATCAGCTGGTAAACGTACAATAAAAATACTATCAACTAAATTAAAAACTGTTTGGCTTGATTCTTTTTAACAAATATATAGAAAGTGGCTTCCTTCATGGAAAAGTGGAATATACATTTGTTTCTTGTCAGGAAACATTTTTCTTTGATAAGGACTTCTTGATTTCTAGGCTGTTTAAGATAACGGATGTATCCACTCCTTCTGGTGCTGTTGACTTCAAACAAGACAAATGAAAAGAATGGCAGATTGTTTTGTGGAATAGGAATTTTGTGCATTAATGTTGCCTCTACCCTAACTTAATCTGAATCCCATAGAACACCTTTGTAATGTGATGGAAAAGGATTTGAATCCTGGATGTGCAGTTAACCAGTCTAAATGAATTGCTGTATGCCATAATAGCAACATGGGCATAAATTTTAAAAGTTTGCTTCTAGAACATCATTGGATGATTATTCAAAAAAAGTGTTCAACCTTTTGTACCAGAAGAGAGTAATGCATAATATCATAAGTCAACAAGTGTTGATAGTTTTAAGCATTCCTTTAATTATATGTTAAAGATTATAAATTTAAAACATGGAAAAAATACAAACAAAAACATCAGCACCTAATTAGCTGATTAAACCAAAATATATTTTGAGTGGATTTTATTTCTTTAAAATTATCAATTTTGTTTTCTGCCTTGCTATAAAATTACTTATGGGGTTAAGTTCTTAGAACAGACCCATAAATCTATGGGCTGCCAGTCTGCTGCTTTATTCCCGACAGAAATTGATTCCTTTCTTCCTGAGTTTCCTCTTGGAAATTAAAAAAGGAAAAAAAATTGTGGCTGTGCATGAAGGAAGATAAAGATATTTTGGGGTGCAAGGTGAAAAGCTAAGATCCGCTGTTAAGTCATTTTGGACAAGTGATTGATCCCCTAAAATGATTATTTATTAAACACAGCTGCTGTTCTTTATTGAAAAAGGCTTTTGAAGATTCAAAGGAAAATGGTTGGTATTTTGGATGGGACTGATGGACAGGTTTCCATAATGAGAAAATTAGTCTTCCTCTTCTTCTGGATGCTGCTGAAGGTTATTTTTAGCAGCAAGGATCTTAGAATTTCATGAAAGATTCTGGAAACCTTACATAAATATTTTATTTTATTTTTTTTTTTTTTTTATATTTTTAAATTGATTTAAGAAAAAAAGATTAAGTAAAGCCTTTTTTTTACAAACAATCTTTTTCTTAGTATTGCTCAGTGGTATTGTAATTGTGACTTCAATCTCTGGATTTGGAAATAAGATGAACAAAAACTGAGCCATACGAAAACAGGACACACAATATCCCTAGGCATGGAAAGCAGAATGGGAAGAAATCTACTTTCCCCTAAATAAAGGGTTGAGTTTGAAATTTGCTGAAGTTTACCCAAATTGACAGTCACCTAGATAAGGTCAGAGGTCACAATGGGCAAAAATAATGGGGACATTAATCCAAATGTAAGTAATGTATTAATTCTTTTTTATTTAATACTTTTCTTATTAAATAAATTTAATTAGTTGCACAATTGAAGAAATGATGGCAATATTTAAGTATTTTTTCAATTTCATTGATTGTTTGCTGCATGTATAAAGCTTAGCATTTGAATCTATAGAATAGTCTCATGATGACATGTTAGGAGAAAAAAAGAGTGTTGAATTAAAAAAACAAAACGGAACATGATGAGCATTAAGGTAGGAATGAATTTTGGGGCGTTTCATTTCTCCCTACTTTTGTCACACACACACACACACACACACACATACACTGTACATATTTCAAAACATTTGAAGTCAATTTTATTAAAAAACATCAATTTGTTTGTGGTAGCTTTCTTTCATAGGGACCATTTGTATTTCCTCATACATGCTTATGACATATTTCTCAAGAGTATACATCTTAATATACAGGGTGCAATAAATAAATTGGGAATCTAAATGGTGCAAAATGCAAATAACAATCATTTTAAGATATATTCACTAAAGATTACACAAAATATCTTGAAATATATTGAAATGAACAAAAATATCATGCCATAGTCAGATGTTGAATTTGACCTCGCTTGCCAGTGCCATCTCTCCATAGTTGAAGCTGAACACCAGTGTAAGATACAATAAATATAATGTCCAATCCCCCCACCAGGCATTATTACGTATATACTGAAGGATACTGAGTGCAGACTATCAAGAAATTCCCCGTCCAAAGATATCTTTGAGTTAAAGAAGAAAGAGTATGAGACAGTATTAAGAGAGGAGGGAGCACAGAATCAAATCAAACTTCAATCCTCAACCCAGCCAACAAGAAAGAAAGAAGCATATTTGGTTCACCCCCCCCTTTTTAATTTAGAAGTGAAAACAAATCTAGATTAAAATATTTTTCAAACTGCTAAATATGCATTTCCTGAAAACTTCTAACTTACAAAAAATCTGTAATAGAAAAACTGTAAAATTAAGTTTTACTACTGTACAAATAATCTTAGATAATCTTCTAAAAAATACATAACATAAGGAAGTTGAAAACAGCTGAAAATAACAGCACTGATACCATCTCCTGCAATTGCATGGACAAAAACAAGTGCCTTTTGGAAGGCAACTGTAATGGTATATATAAAGCGAAGGTGGAGGATTCTGTGGGGCAGAACAAAGTCTATGTAGGATGTACACAAGGCATATTTAAGGTGGTACAACCATAGGTCATCTTTCAAGCTGGAAAGTCATAGCCAATGTACAAAGCTAGCAAAGCTATGTGTCAGAATACAAAAAGAAATGCAGTAGAAGCCCCAGTATAAAGTAGAGTACTCAATGAGAGTTAAGCCTTACAGAAGTATTTATAATGTTTGTAGGCTGTATCAGAAGGAAAAATTGGCTATAATGACATACCCAGACAAAAGCAATTTGTTGAATCAAGGTCTGAGGTTAAGTCTAAATGTAGACAGATTAACAAATGTACTTTAGATCAGGATGAGATGATGAAAATGTTTTTATATTTTCTCATTATTTCTGGTTCCAAATCTTCCCTCTCCCCTTCCATTTCTAATATTTATAAATTGTGGCATTTAGTCAATCTATATAAGTGGGCTTAATTAGTACTACAGATTAACCATTAACTATCCTGATGATACTGTAACTGATATATATATATATATATCAAGAACAATGTTGGAGAAAAATGTATGACAAAGTGGAAAAAGTTTTCTTGTTATGCATTTCATCCTTTAGGACTGCATCAGACAAAATTTATGTTTTTGCGATGACAAATGCACAAACAAGGGATGCTAGGAATTTTAATTTTTTTTTTTTATTTAATCTAGCCGATTTCATTTAGATTCATTTTTCTTTTTAATGAATTATTTTCTCTTTTGATCAGTGTCACATTTTTCATGTCAAAATTGTGCTCAGTCTTGTTAAATTGAGTAACCAATGCATTTGATGTATTGGTTTGTAAAATGTCCCATTTGTGTTCATATGATATTTTATTTAGATTCTTTGAGGTTTCTCTTATGTAAATTTGGGTTCAGGCTCTTTTAACTAAGCTAAATTAAGCTCTAAATTAAATCTAAGTATAATCTAGCACAGCATTAAAAAGAAAGTTACTCTCTTCCATGTGTATATTGAGTGACTGACTGTTGACTACCAGTTTACTTTGAAATAGTTTTTTTTTTTTTTTTTTTTTTCTTGTTTTTTTTGTTTTTTTTTTAATCCTAAATTTCACCTGAGTTTAAAATGACATGGGTGCAAAAATTGTAAACTACTTCAGTCACAAGGCCTGTAAGTGGATACATATGTTATATAAACATATATATAATGTTTCATTGGATGGAATGGACAAGGAAAACTTTATAAATATTTTAATTCACTTGTTTGTCCTTTATGAAGACTAAGTTTGTAGAAACAATCTGTAGTGATTATTGTCCAAAATGCTTTCTGCTAATTTTTCAGTCATTTTCAAGGTGGTCATTGTTGGTATATTATTGGGTTTTGTATTTTGTGTTGTTTAGAAGTAGCAGTAATTCTATGTTTGGATGTCTTCAAATTTGTTTTTGGTTAGTTTCAAAGCATGTAGTGTTGACTCTTGGTCTGTACTGTTT